TCGGATGTTAGCTCAGGGCTAATCTTCCTCACACACACAAAGAAATCACTTTCCGACCGGCCCCGTGGCTTAGCGGCTAAGTGCGCGTGCTCCGCTGTTGGCGGCCGGGGTTTGGACCCCGGGCGTGCACCGACGCAAGGCTTCTCCAGCCATGCTGAGGCTGCGTCCCACATACAGCAACTAGAAGGATGTGCAGCTATGACATACAACTATCTACTGGGGCTTTGGCGGAAAAAAATAAATAAATAGAATTATAAAAGAAAATCACTTTCAATATGTGTATGAGACAGAAAACCTAATTTTTTTCCTTCAAAATCTTTCGCTGTAGAATTGGGTTGCATTTTCGACATAAGCATATGTTATTTGGTAGAAATCTCTCTACTGAGGCTGGAGAACAATCCAGAGGATTTGATGGTGATTCTCAAAGCCTCCTCTCCACTAGCTGTCTATCTGGAAATGTCTTCATCTCATCTTCGTAATTGAAAGATGTATTTTCTGAATGTAACGTTCTTGGTTGACAGAGTTTTTCTTTCAGCAGCTGGAATGCCGTTGGCCCTTCATATCTGGGGATGCAGAATCCAGGGATAAGGAGGGCCAACCAAGGGACTTGAGCATCCTCAGATTTTGGTCTCTGAGACGGTCCTGGAATCACTGTCCGTGGATACTGAGAGAGAACTCTACGTCATCCCCCTGCCTCCAGCCTCCGTTATTTATGAGAAGTCAGCTGTAATCTTATTGGGGCTCCCTTGCATGCGATGAGTCATTTTTTTCTTGTTGTGTCCAAGACTTTTTCTTTGTATTTTAATATTTTTACTACGATATGTCTTAGGTGTTGATCTCTTTGTGTTTATTCTACTTAGATTTTGTTGAACTTCTTGGGTGAGGAATCATTCAGGGTTGTCCAGGGAAACAGAACACATTATATATAATTTTATATACATATATAAAATGTATACTATACATATTATACGTAGACTATAAACTATGCTATATATGAATACTTTATATGGCCTGTATGCTATATATACAATGTGTGTACTATACATATTTTATATATATACTATATACTATACTATATATAGTGTTGTAAGAGAGGAAGAAATTTTCCTCTACCGTTCTAGATTTTTCTGGCTGGTCTAAGAATTAAGTTGATAGGAGAGAGATGAACAGGAGAAACATCAAACAAAGTTTTATGACATGTATCCCTGGAAGAGAACCAGGAAAACTAAGTAACTCACCAAAATGGCAGACGCTACCACCTCAAATACTGTATTCAGGTAAAGAGAAAAGAGGATGTTGGGGTAATGGTTTGGGACTTCAAAGGGGAGGAAGGCAATTCACGTGGAGATGGAAAAACACATGTTTGGGAAACCATGTCTCTGCACGGCATGGTATACATTTGACCTCTTGGCGCTGTCCTGGACCCACAACACATAGCCCATTTTCTTTGTAGATATCTCTGGTGATAGCTCTGTTCCTGTTGCAGGTCATTTATCTAAATTCTGTTAGGCAGTTAAAGGGGAGGTAACTAGAAGAACGTTCTGACTTTTGTTTCTTAAAAATAATCAACATAACATAATAATTGTCATGTTAAAGAGACACATTTTGAGGTGGCAAATTTTGTTCCTGTTCAGTATATATTCTATATACTACACACACCCAGAGACACACACACATATGTATGTATATAAGTATAAAAAATATATATATATTAAGAGATTTGTTTTGAGGAGTTGACCCATGTGACTGTGGGGTTGAGGAGTGAAATATATAGGGCAGGCCACGAGCAGGCTGGAAACTCAAGCAGGAGATGATGCTGTAGTCTGAAGGCAGAATTTCTTCTTCTCCAAGAAATGTCCATTTTTGTTCTGAAGGCCTTCAACTGATTGGATAGATGCACTCATATTATTGAGGGCAATCTCCTATACTTAAAGTCAACCTATTGCCCACATCTACAATTTATCTTCAGAGAAACACCTAGATTAGTGTTTGACTAAATAACTGAGTACTATACCCCACCCAAGTTGACACATAAAACTCACCATCACAGATGTGTAGATTAATGGTTTTCATCAAATTTGGGAAATTTTCAGCCATTGTTTCTTTGAATAATTTTCCTATTCCTTTCTCTCTCTATTCTCCTTCTGATACTTTCATTGTGCATATGCTGTTGGTGTGCTTAATGTTGCCCCATATTTCTCCGAGGAACTCTTCATTTTCCTTCATTCTTTTTTCTCTTTTCTACAGATGGCATAATCTCTATTAACCAATCTAAATGTTCTAATTCCTTCTTCCGCCACTTCAAATCTACTGTTGAGACCCTCTAGTAACTTTTACATTGAGGTTATACTTTTTAACTCAAGAATTTCCATTTGGTTCTTTTTAATAATTTGTATCTCTTTATTGATATTTGCTACTTGATCAGATGTTGTTATCATACATCCCTTTACTTTCTAAGCACGGTTTCTTTTAGTTCTTTGAGCATATTTATAATGGCTGCTTTAAAGTCTTTGTTAAATGTGACATCTAGGCTGTCTCATAGCAAGTTTCTTTTCTCCCCTTGCTTTATTGAGGTACAATTGATAATAAAAATTATATATATATTTAAGGGATACCATGCGATCATTTGATATATGTATACATTGTGAAATGATGACCACAATCAAGGTAATTATCACATCCATCAACTTACATAGTTACTTATTTTAGTGGTAAGAATGCTTAAGATTCAGTGTCAGCACATTTCAAGTTTACAATACAGTGTTATTAACTATAGTCACCATGCTGTACATTAACTCTCCAGAACTTAGTCATTATAATTGAAAGTTTGTACCGTTGCACAAACATCTCCTCATCCCTTCTCACCCCACAATCGCAGACAGTTTCTATTGCCTGTTTTTTTATTCTGTGTATGGGTCACACTTTTCTGTTTCTTTTGCATACCTCATAATTTTTGGTTGAAAACTGGACATTTTAGGTAAGTTATTGTAGCAACTGTGGATATTGATTTGTTCTCTTTCACTCCACCTCCTACAGCTTGTTATTGTTGTTGCTGTTTTCTTTTTTGTTGGTTTAGTGACTTGGCTGGACTGTTTCAGTGAAATCTAGTCCCCCTGCAGTGTAAAATGTCTGATGTCCCTGCTCAGAGGGCTTAGCCCTGTGCCTGCTCACAGTCATCCTGGGATGAGAGTGCTTTACCAGAGCTCCATAGACTTTCTCTTTCCCTGATCTCTTATGTTAGCTGTCCGCATCTGTTGATATCACACCAAGCTATCAGGCTCCTCTAATTACTGGATGATGGCTCTGTTGTTTTCAACACTGTCCTGTGGCGTAAATGGCTTCACATTCTGATCCAATTAATTTCAGGCCCCTTTGCAAAGGTCCATTTTTCAGGCCAGTCTTTCACGTTTGTTCTGTCCCCAATAGGGTTTTCTTAGCTGTTTCTTTCTCTGGCTCTCTCTGGTAAACTAGCTGACTTACAGTTTAACTTGTTGCTCACATGGAGATAAGGGCCTCCTCTTTATTGCTTACCACCAATATCTCCATTGTTTTTGATAGTGCCCTTAGTCTTGAACATCTCTACACTCTGTTTGGAATAAAGTTAGTTCCTTTGGGAAATCTTCAGATTCTCATGTTCTAATGGACTGCCTCTCTTTCTGGGTAAATTCTCTAAGCCATTGCCGCCGAGCTTATGGCAGGGGCAGAGGCCTGTTTACCTCAGAGTTACATCCCTGTAGTATGAGCAAGGTACTGGACTGGGGCAGTAGCCTCCTGTCTTCTTGGCTTGCATTTCCTGGTATACAAGCTCTGCCCTACAAATGAGCTGGGATGAGAGTAATTGGAACTCAATATTTTCAGCCTGCCATGTCTGGGTTAGAGGCTCTGCTCTCTGAGTGGGGGCTGGATAGTGGAAGAAACCCCCGCCAATAATGACCAGATTTGCAAGGAATTTAGTCTCTGCAAATTGGAGCTGTAGTGGTTGAGAAATGCTACCGGTCTGACCCTTGTCTGACCTTCCCAGTACCTACCCATATCCTCTGAATGGGAACTGGGGGAAAGGATGCCACATTTTCTTGGCCATATCTACCCAGAGTGGAATTTCTTTCATGCTGAGCAGAGGAGGAGAAGGCAGGGAGTGATCAATCCTGGCTCTGGTGCAGGAGACTCTCATTGTTCTTACTGAGATTTAGTAGATTTTCTTGAGTAAATGTTTCAGCATTTGCTGTATGCCCTTAGGACAATTTCCAGAGATTTTATTGATTGTTCAAAGGTATTTTTCACCAGTTATGGTTGTTTCACTGGATGGGGTAAGAGCATGTCTGCAGAGCTCCTCATGACACCATTCGGGAAAGGGAACCCTTCAGTGGATGTAATTTAGCATCCAGAATAGAGAAGAAAATTGTATTGAAAAAGAAATGTGAGATTAAAAAAAAAAAAACACCACGGGTTACTTATAGCTTAGATCTTAAAGATTTGGGGAGAAATTTTACTTTACTTTGCTCCTGTTTGCCAAAACATGACAAAACAAATGCAGATGTGTTTCATTTCCAAGAAATGAGACAAAACTACCACCAAAATCTGTTTGTGTTCTGGCCTGCAGTTTACAAAAGTCTAAGCATGTGTTTATTTCCCTATGCTTATTTTAACAGGAGAGTATCTTTACTAGGAGTATCTTTATTCACACCGTACTTCAGAAGTTCCCTTAAATATGCCAAACTTCTTTAGATGGTGGCACATTCACTAAATCATTTGAATTTCCCACATCCTTAGGCTGCGTAAGTCAGATATTATTCCTCCATTTTACAATTGTGAAGTTGAGAAGAAAAGAGCCAGCTCTTCCTATGTGGCTCGGCTCCCCCAGTATGGCCTGTGGAGGTGAGCATGCCCCGTAATGCTGGGAGGAATGCAGGGCCCTGGTTCCATTAGGCACTCTGTTTATTCTGTGTCCTGGGGAAGTGCGCTGCCATTGGCTGATCCTCCCAGCCTGGGGTTATAAAGCTGGGATTCTCAGAGGCTCTTGATGCCTCCAGTTCTGTCGTGTCTCCTGCCAATCCTTTGGGCTGAAGCCAAACCCAGAGATGGGTAAGCACCTCCTGCTGTCACTGGTCATCCTGTCCTCATTGCTGGGCTCCCTGCAAGGTGAGCTAGGGGAGCATATAGGAGGGCAGTGGGACTGAGGAGAATCTGGGTGAGTGGTAGTTTATATTTCCAGGCATCACCTCTCTCTTTGACTATATAGCTGCCTGCCTTGTCAGTAGAATGTACAACAGGTGAGATTACCAGATGAGATATGATTGGATCTGGGATGTTTTCCTTTTGTAGGGATACATTTCAATGTCTTTTTGCTTGTAAATTTGTTTTTCATAATATCAACTAGTTAAACACTTTTGAAAGCTGAGGTATTTTGGTACTCTATTTGTTGAATACTTTAAGATTTGGAGTTATCCTGTAGAAACAGGATGGGCCCTCACCAAAATTTGGTTCAGATGTCAGGACTGATGATGCCAAGACTTGACATGCACCAAGAGGGTATGAAGAAGTTAATTACTTACCTACTGAATCTCTCTGGGGAGAGCAGGGCTTGCTTCCCAGCTGGTCTTAAACTAGCTTGAGGGAGCAGGGAAAGGAGACTGGCTTGGGATTCATATGGTTATTAGGGAGCAAGGCAGGGTGCGAGTTGCTGCATGCAGGCAGGTGATTGTATGGTTTGAGACTCCCACCAGTGGTGAAGGGGGGAGCTTCTGGGGCCCAGATGTGGGGCAGAAGAGGTGAATCTTAGAGCTGTCAGCTATCAAACATCAAATAATTGGAGTCAGACACTTTATTACAAAGTGTAGGGTAACCTTTACAAAATGTTCAATACCCTTGTAGGACACTTAGATTGAATCACAAACGGTACCTCAAAGGCTAGACCCCATTTTCAAAATCTGATTGATGACAGGCAGCAGGGAGAAAGCTTGCTGAAGAGTATTTTTTATTCCACATCACCTTCATCAGAAAACATTTATAGTTATTCTACCTGTGTGTGTGTGTATACATACATACATTGATATATATAAAATATACAAATTCGTTTATACCATATATATATATATATATATATATTATACATACCTAGAGACACACCACACTATCACACTTGTTTGGACAGAATTAGGATACAGTTAAGAATTATGTATTCACTACAAGCAATTATAACTGTATTTTGATTCCATAGATTCTCAGTTGAGTAAGAACTTTGTTTCTGCTGCAATTTTATGCTCCACCAGCACTTTTCTTTACAATATTGCCACAAAAATGAATGATTTTATGTTCAATGTGGACTTTTTACACGGAATTTATATAGCATTCACAAAAATTCAGAAGTTTCCCCTTCTACAGAAATCATTTCCGCAGCTTTTATTTGATTGCATGGATTGATTGAAAAATGGAATGATCATTGGCATTAACTGGCATCATTTGTTTGCAATGTTCTTCTTCTGCAAATGGAATCAGCTTACTAATAGTCTACTAATAGTGCTTCTTTTATTGTATATGCACAGGAAAACTTGGTATAAAAAATCTGAAAAATTAATTTAGAAGAACATTCATTTGATCTAAATGAAAATTTATCATTTTAGTTGGTGCTCCCCCAGAAGCTGACTCTGAGAGAAAGATATGAGTAAAAATCATTTGTCTGGAAGGTGGTCCCAGGAAATGCCAGTTTGGGGAGTGAGGAAGGAAGACAGGGAAGGGGAGGAAGCTGATAAAGGATGGGTCATGGAGCTAGACACCATGGTGGGCAAATGGAGCTTAATCCTGCGGGGAAATCCTGAGGACAGGGCAGAGCCGGCCTCAAGCTACCCCAACTCAAGGGTGAGAAGTTTGGAGTATTATCCACCAGTACCCCTACTGTTCTTGGGTGGGGGATGCTCTCAGGGACATTTGCTCCCTAGTATTCCAACTTACCCAGGAGTGAGGGATTGTTCTCCCGCCTTCCCTGTGGAGTTGCAGGTGTTTGCAGGAGCAGTCTTCAGCACCAGGAGGTGAAGGTGAGCTGTCCAGGGGACAGGATACTCATTGCATCTGCTTCAGTCAGTGATACAAGATGCATCTGCTACAGCTGCACACGTCCTTGTTGTTCCTTGAACTGAACAAGCTGATTCCATCTTAGAACTTTTGCACTTGCCCCTAGATCTTCATGGAACCAGTTCCACAACTTCTCATGGTTGTTTAGATAGTCAACTCTTTTTTAAAAAAATCATTTAACTTTGAGTTTAAGTAAGCCCTAAGAAAACTTTTCTGAGCACCCTATCTAAAGTAACAGCCCCACTACCTCACTTACTATCTCTGTCGCATGTACTCAGTCCTCCATTCTTCATAAGTCACTGGAACCTAATATAGTCTTTCTCATGTGTTCATTGTCAGTAGTTCTCCCCATTTATTTGTTTAGTGTTTAAGTAAATAAGTGAAATGTATGTTTCACTCCTCCCTTTCATCATGTATTCCTAAGCCCTGGAATAGTGCCTAGAACATAACAAGTGCCCGATTCTTGCTGAATCCCTGCATGGGTGAGCTGGCTGCTCACCCCAAGGCTGAGGAAGAGAGAGGAGCTGCAGCTCCAGGGCAAACATTTTATAAGTGATGCCTCCAGCACCCTCCTTTCCTCTTCTCCTTTCTTCTCCTTTCCTCAACCTTCCACTGTCTGCTTCCTTCTGTTCCTTCTGGTCTTCTCTTTGTCTTCCCAACCTCTCTGCCCCTCCTCCTTTCTCTCCTCATCCCACTCCTATGAGCACCCCTTTTCAGCTGAGTCCTGTGGTTCTCCTAAGTAGCTCTACTTTTAGGATGAAAAGGAGAGTGGAGGATGCCAGCCCTGTTTGGAAGAGGATGAGGAGGGGCTTTGTGGTGCTGCAGGAATGATGGAATGGGCGTGGGCAGTCCTGATTCTTCACACAACTCTAACAATTCACTTGTTGCTCACCTGCAGATGCTAGTCACATGGAATAGATTTTGAATGGTGTCCCCTGGTGTTGTGCCATGGACAGCCCCAGGGTTCGAGTGATAATCAGTTGGCAAGTGGGGTCAGGCTGAGCTGAAGTGTAGCACATGACCTTCTCCTCCAGCAGGACAGTCCATCCCTGAGAGACAAGGGAGATCCTGTCTGTACTTGGCCACAGACCCTGCACCCAGAGGCATGCATGTCTCCTCCCAGGTTTAAACAAAGCGCTGAGAAATCACACCAGGCTTTCAGCACATTCAGCAGGCAGTGGGAACTAGTCATTGTCCAAGCTGGGTCTGGGCCAGAGGGTGTGCTTCCTCATCTGATCAGTCGGGAGACTGGGCCAGAAGAGCCTCATTATCCTGGTTTTTGCTTTCCAGCTCTACAATGCTTTCATTGTGATCGAGTCAATGCCAATGGGGTTTGCGTGACTGGGGAAAGATTCTGCCAGGCTAAAGAATTCCAGCAGTGCTATGTGAGGAAGGTCTATGAAGGTAGGTGGGTCGTGGGAAGTCTCCTGGGGTGACCTTTACCTGAGGGTTGGGGCTGGCTGTGGGTATTCAGGGTGGAGGGTGGTATGAACCACCCATGGAACCACCTGGGAGCCTGGGCCCCAATGACACTGCGGGGTGGCTATAGGACCAGGAAAGGTGGCCCCTTAGGAACCCTGGGAGTAGGAGCAACTTAGGCAGGGAGGTGGTTTTCTTTCTTTCCTTTCCTTTCCTTTTTTTTTTTTTTGTTTGAGGAAGATTGGCCTTGAGCTAACATCTGTTGCCAATCTTCCTCCTTTTTTAGTTTTTTCTCCCCAAAGCCCCAGTAGATAGTTGTATGTCATGGTTGTACGTCATGTTGTACATCCTTCTAGTTGCTCTATGTGGGATGCCACCTCAGCATGGCTTGATGAGTGGTGCATAGGTCTGCGCCCAGGATCTGAACCTGCGAACCCTGGGCCACCACAGCAGAGAGTGTGAACCTAACCACTACACCACCGGGCCAGCCCGTGGTTTTCTTATTTTACCTAAACTAATGATGCAGTATCAGCTGGTTCTGGTCCTGAGCTTCCACTGGCCCTTCACTAGGTTGTTGACCTGTAAAAGGAGAAGCAGTGATCTTCTGTTTAGTCCTGAGGGTGACTGGAATTGGGCTGCTCAAATTCCCCTGAGTGGATGTGAGTGTGGTGGAGTTTTCAGAAACTGAGGACGGAAGTCAGAGAAGAGGGGTAGGGGAGGGCGAGTAGGGCAATTTCTATTCCTCCCCTCTGCCCTCTCTTGTGTGGGGAGGTGAATTGAACCCTAATATAGAGAGCCCCCAGAGCTATCCTAGGAAAGCCCACAAGGGGGTCCTACCTCAAACATCTCAATCCTGGGAGGCAGATAGTCATCCCTACCCAAGAGCATGAGTTCTTGATGGAATGTGCCATTTTCTCCCAATTCCTTGATTAATTTGTTGATGCTTTGTTCCACTGCTTCATTCAGCAATATTTATTGAGTGCTGTGAGCCGGGATATGCTAGACCCCACACCCATGAGTTTGCAACATGGGCTTCTGGGGTCTCACTTGCCTTCTTCTCTGCCTCTCTCCAGATAACATCATTTCCTATGGATACCAGGGTTGTAGCAGCCTATGTTCTCCTATGATGCTCTTTAATCGCAATGTTGCTGTGGATTGGAAATGCTGCAATAACTCATCTCTCTGCAACAAGTTCTAAAGGCAGGGCCCAGCTTATGCCCTGATCTGGTGGATAAAGCTGATTCAGCATACTTTTCAACAATTATAATCTTCAAGACTACTGTGACCTGAATGTGGTTTCCCTCCAAGAAGTCTCAGACTAGTTCCCTTTTCAGGCCCCATTTCCTTTTCTTTCCATTATTGCAAGATGCTGCAACGACAGTCTTTAAAACCAAATTGGGGTGAATAATGGTGGTCATAGCTAGGTCCAAGCAAACCTTCTCCCTTTTCAGGCTCTAATTAAGAGTCGCATTGGTTGCCACTTTAAAAGGCAGGATCTGTGGGAGCTTCCTTTAGTGTCTGTGTGATGCTTTTAACGCTGGGTGCTCTGTAGGTAGTAGCTGAAGAGAGAGGGAGAACCCTCAAAAGCTGAAAAGGGTGGTAAGAGTGGGGAGGGCCCTAAATGATGTATTAGTTGAGTAGGCTAGCTGGTGTAACAAAAATCTCTGAAATATCAGTGGCTTCAAACAACAAAAAATGATTGCTAACTCATTTCACAGTTCAAAGAGGTGGTAGTGACTATTCTGGTACACAAGCTCCTTCCCAGTCTTTATGCTGCCATCTTTCACGCAGAGTTCAAGGTCTCTACAGAAGGGGAAGACAGCATGGAGACTCTCACAGGGGCTTTTATTGCCAAGACTAGAAGTCCTGTACATAATTTCTGCCCATATTCCACTATCAATTGACTCCAACCTAATCGCAGGAAAGGTAATCTTGCAGTCTGTAATCTTGTAATCTGCAGTGTAATCTGGTGTGGCCAGGAAAATATGGATGCTTTGTTGAGCACAGCGTATGGTGTCTGGTTCCGACTTTCCCCTCAACTGTTCAGATTTCTCAACTTGCATATTTGATCTCTCTTACAAAGGAAAGAATAACCCAGCATATGAGGAATACAAAGCACAATGTAAAAGGTTTGTGACTTGACCAGATTTCCCACTCAGATTCTTTCAGAATCTCCCCACATGGAGGCTGGAGCCCAGCGTGTCTCACACGTGCTCACCAGCCTGCTGTAGGCATCCGGGGCTCTGCATCTTCTCCAGTTTCCTTGTTGCTTCCCTCAGCGCTTCTCCAGGGGTCTCAGCACTCTCTTTCCTGCGGTGACCTCCCTGAGAACCCCAGCGTGCCTGTCAGTGGAGTCATGTCCTCAGTCTCCCAGAGCAGCCAGCCCTCGAGACGGGTACTGGTCTCCCTGACTCTATCACAGGCTGTCCTTAAGGGGACCAAGCAGACTGTTGTTTCATTCCATCTGCATTTCTTTTCTTTCCCACTCATCACTATGTGGGAAAGGCTTATTCAGCTTCTGCCTCTAGCCTCTTTATACACAGGACTCTGTAGGGGGGGAAAAACCTTTTCCCTCCACCTCCTAGTTTCTCTGACTAGGGCCCTGCAAATTAGAGTGACAAAAGACAGATTCACAAGAGAAAAGCAAACAGAAGTGTAGTGATGATTGCATTGCACATACCTGTGGGAGTGCTCAGTGATGAGTAACTCAAAGCAGAGATTAGAACCTGCGTTTACTAGCATCTGAAGCAAGAGCAATAATTTTGTAGAGCAGTGAGAACACAAAGGAAAAAGATTTTAGGCTTTTAGGTAGAGCAAGTTATGCAAAGGTAAACACATGTGGAAACTAATGGAAGATATGAGCAACTCAGTAGGGTTTGTTATGTAGATTCCTCTGGGCAGAATAGACTCTAGAGATGCCTCTGGTGATTAAGCATCCTCCTGTCCTCCCTAGCTGAGAGGGGGAGGCCAGAGACTTTATCCTGTATCTGCTTCCTCTAAATTGCTTTCAGCTCAAAATAATCCTTATATCAAAGTGACATATTTTGAGGTGGCATACTCTGAACCAATGCCTTTGACTGAAAACCATACATGGGGCTGGACAGAGTCAGAGAATTCACTGTTTCCTGTCTGGCTTCCTTCATCATTAAAATCTCAGGCACCTACCCCAAACTTCCTTTTCCCAGAGCTCCTCTCTGCCCATGCAAATTATTCCTAAGTTTTGATGCTGGGCGTGGAGCTGGAGTCATTTGCTGTGCACCTGATGATTATGCTCAGCAGGGGACACCTGATATTTTTGTTGATTCAATGACCTGTGCATCCAAGTATAGATGCTACACACACTCTGATTTTAAACTCACCCAATCTGATGTGAACTGGCACTTCTATGAAAGCAGAGTTTTCATCCACTGGGAGTTTCATTTGCTTATGTAGCTTTCCCTCCTCAGAAAAGTCTGGTTATAAGTATGGTTATCACCTGGTAATGGTGTCAGGATGTCCAAGCTTGCCTTTATATTGAGGTCAGGCCCAGGCTCACAACATGCCATGGGCTGGGTGGGACAGTGGGTTTAGACATATCTCCTCGAAGGCCAAACCGTGTGAATATTCCAAGACTTTCTCCTCTGGTCTCGGTTGACTGGATCAGTGGTGGACATTTGACCCAAGTGGGGCCAATAAAATTTTCTTTCCTCAGAATTTCTTATTGAACTTGAGACACCAATTCTTTACTTGTCATTAGAACTATAATATGAAACTCAGGTGCTGAGGGATGCCATCTTCATCGATGTGGTGGAGAATCAGAGAGAGTTCATCTGCAAAGACAGAAGACTGAAGCAAACATGAGAGAGCAGAGGCGTCTGTGTGTGAGAGAGCCTGAAGTTCTGACCTCTTTGTCGTTCTTGATTTCTGCATCCCGTCTCCCACCCCCGGCTAAGGCCAGGAGAAATTCCTGACCAAGGTGGCCATGATTGATGCGAGTCGAAATATTCATCCACTTGCTTTTTTTGTTTGTTTGTTTAAGCTACTTTGACCAGGGCTTGTGTTTGGCTTTGTGAAAAAGTGAGCTACTAACAGTGGCTGAAAATTCCCTATAATAAATAGAAAACAAAGCAGTTCATGGAGAAACAATCTCTACTTCCCTGGTGGTGACAGTGAATACACAGGAAAATTACACCTGTTCAAACTCTTTGGAAAATGCTAGGAGGAAGAGTGAGTGGGTGTCTGTAACCTTGGGCCTAGCTTTTTAGGATGTCCTCCCTTCCTTAGAGCATTTGTCCCACTTAGGATTTATTTCCCCAAAAGAAAGCTGTGTGGAAAGGCAGGAACATTTTCATCCTGTAGAAGAGACAGTCCTGGAGGAGTGAGGAGGAGAGGCAATGGATCCAGGGCTTAAATCTGTTAGGTGAATTGCTTGGTATTAGAGCCATGCCCCCCTCTCCACTCCCCATGAATGGGCAGTCAGCGGGAGAACAGTGCCCAGAGAGCTAGAGGTGCCCTCTATGCAGGCTGTCTCTCAGCACATTTGACTGAAAAGAATGAAAACTCATTCAAGTTAACTTAGGTAAAGGAGATTTCCTGTCAGAGTACAGGAGAATTTCCTAGCACCAAGTGCAGAAACTTAGCTAAGCCTCATGGGAACAGGGAGTGTGCAGGGAGCCATGTTTGGCTTTGAAGTATTTTGGGCAGGAGGGTAAATGCAGGTCCTGTCACACTGCCTTGAGGTAGAAGATCAGATTCCACTTCATGAAAAACCTCTTCTCTTACTCAAATTATCTTTTTTCCAAATCTTTCAGATATTTCCTCCATCCTCCTCTTGTGTCTGCAGGGCAACTGCGCATCCTACCCGTTCTTAGCCAGGCACGATTCAAGTTAATGCTGCCCACTCACCTGAGAAGAATCAAAGGGCATGTTCTGAACTTCATCAGGCCACGGTAGTGTGAGGTGTTTTTGGTTGTTCCCTGAAACCTTCTTTTTCCTAGGAAGGGTTTTTGAGCATTATGGTCATGAAAATGAGTATGCTCATCTAAATTGCAATCTAGACATGGCTGAGACCCTTCAAAGGAGAAGAATGGAAGAAGAGGAGGAGGAAGGAGAGGATTAATGAGCAAAACGGTCTATCTGCCCAGCCCAGCTTCTGTAGCAGGACAGACCATAGGAATTGGCTGCAGAAAGAAGTCAATTTCTGGATTTTTTAGAGTTTTGGAAAACTGGGAACTTAGAATTTTTCAGAGAGAAGTAACTACCTAGCAGATGGAAGAATTCCTGAAGAAGATGGTTAGAGAGGAATCAGGAGCGGCTCCTAAGAACTGCTTTCCCCTACTCACATCTGCAATGAGTTCATTCTATAAATCCAACAACAAGAGAAGGTATTCATTAGTCAGGTTTCCTGAGCAAGGCTGTGAAGAGGAAGGAGTCATCCCCCATGTACAATCAGGAGGGGAAGGGGGAGAGATCAAATGCCTTTTCTGCATCTATTGAGATAACCATATGATTTTTATCTTTCATTCTATTAATATGATTTATTGATTTGCATATGTTGAACCATCCTTGCATCGCAGGGATAAATCCCACTTGATCATGATGTTCAATCCTTTTAATGCGTTGTTGAATTTGGTTTGCTAATATTTTGTTGAGAAATTTTGCATCTGTATTCATCAGGGATATTGGTCATAGTTTTCTTTTCTTGTAGAATCCTTATTTGTCTTGATAACAGGGTAAAGCTGGTCTTGTAAAATGAGTTTGGAAGTATTCCCTCTTCTTCAATTTTTTGGAAAAGTTTGAGAAGGTTTTGCGTTAATTCTTGTTTAAATGTTTGGTAGGATTCACCAGTGAAGCCATTTGGTCCTTGACTTTTCTATGTTGGGGGAGTTTTGATTACTGATTCAATCTCTTTACTTGTTATTAGTCTATTCAGATTCTCCATTTCTTCTTGGTTCAATTTTGGGAGGTTGTATAAGTCTAAGAATTTATCCATTTCTTCTAGATTATACAATTTTTTGACATATGGTTGTTCGTAGCAGACTCTTATGATCCTTTGTATTTCTGTAGTATATGATGTACATCTCTTCTTTCTTTTATGATTTTATTTTTTGACTCCTCTTTTTTTTCTTAGTCTAGCTAAAGGTTTGTCAGTTTTGTTTATCTTTTTGAAAAATTGGCTCTTAGTTTCATTAATTTTTTTCTATTGTTTCTCCTTATTATTTATTTTCACTCTGATCTTAATTATTTCCTTCCTTCTGCTAATGTTGGGCTTAGTGTGTTCTTCTTTTTCTAGTTCCTTGAAGTGTAAAGTTATATTGTTTATTTGAGATATTTTTATTTCCTTAATATATGCTTTTATTGCTTTATAAATTTCTCTCTTAAAACTTCTTTTGCAACCCCAGAGCTTTTGATATGTTGTGTTTCCATTTTCATTT